TAGAGGGGAGGGAGGTGGGGGGATGGGTTAGCCCGGTGATGGGTATTAAGGAGGGCATGTACTGAATGGAGCACTGGGTGTTATTTGCAAACAATGAATCATGGAACACTACATCAAAAAGGAGTGATGTAATGTATGGTGACATAACATAATAAAATTTAAAAAAAAACAAAACCAAGACAATACCAAATGAAATGTACTTTTACACTTTAAAATGCATCTTTTCACAGACTGGAAACAAATATTTGCAAAAGACATAACTGATAAAAAAAAAACTGTTATCCCAAAATATAAAGAACTCTTACAATTTAACAATAAGAAAGCAACCTGGGGCACCTGGGTGGCTTAGTCGGTGAAGCGTCTGCCTTCGGCCCAGGTCATGATCCCAGGGTCCTGGGATCAAGTCCATATTGCACTCCCTGCTTAGCAGGGAGTCTGCTTCACCCTCTCCCTCTGCTCCTCCCCCCTGCTCATGCTCTCTCTCTCTCATGCTCTCTCTCTCTCAAATAAATAAATAAAATCTTAAAAAAAAAGAAAACAGCCTGATTTTAAAATGGGCAAAAGACCTCAACAGACACCTCACCAAAGAATATATACAGATGGCAAATGAATATATGAAAAGATGCTCAATATCTTACGTCATTGGGGATATGCAAATTAGAATAACAATGAGATACCACTACACACCTAGTGGAATGGTGATAATACCAAACGCAGGCAAGGGATGTGGAACAACAGGAACTCTCACGTATAGCTGGTGGGAATGAAAATGGTGTTCACTTTGCAAGACAGTTTGATAGTTTCTTATAAAACTAACATATTCTTCCCATACAATCCAGCAATCATGCTGCTTAAAGAGTTAAAAATTTATGTCTATACAAAAACCTACACATGGATGATTCTAGCAGCTTTATTCATAATTGCCAAAATTTGGAGGCAACTAAGATGTTCTACAATAGGTAAATGGATAAATATATGGTACATTCAGACAATGGAATATTGTTCAGTGCTAAAAATAAATGAGCTCTCAAGCCTAAAAAAATGTGGAGGAAACAAATGCATATTACTAAGTGAAACAAGTCAATCTGAAAAGGCTAATAACATATGATTCCAACTATATAACATTTGGAGGCAAAACTATGGAGACAGTAAAAAGATCAGTGGGTGCCAAGAATTAGAGGAGAGGGAAGGATGAACAGCAGAGCACAGAGGATTTCTAGGGCAGTGAACCTATTTTGTATGATACTATAATGGTGGATGTATGTTATTAAACATTTGTCAAAACTCAATAGAATGGACAACACCAGGATCAAGCTCTAATGTAAACTATGAACTTTGATAATAATGTGTCGATGTAGATTCACCAATTGTAACAAATGCACCACTCTGGTGTGAGATATTGATAATGGGGGAGTTAGGGGCGGAGCAGGTGGTATATGGGAACTTCCTGTATCCTCCACCCAATTTTTTTTAATGCATCATTAAGCAGTAATTATAAAGCTAAATAGTTCTAAATTAAGAATAGATGATATGACAGGAGGTACAATAGAAATTTCAGATATAAACCTTAATCTATCAAAAAGCTTAACATGAAGTATTAAGAGGAATAAGAAAGTAAAGAGATGAATCATAATTTAATAAATATTGTTGGGATATTAGTTTTCATTATGAAGAAAATTAGATATAAATTCATGTCATAATCAACAACTAACTACAATAATATTAGCCCCCAATGGGTTAAAAATGTTAACTTTAAACACTCCAAAAGTAGGGACACCTGGGTGGCTCAGCGGTTCACCCAACTCTTGATTTTGGCTCAGGTCATGATTTCAGGGTTGTGAGATTAAGCCC